GAATAAATTTTTTTTTTCAGTGTTTTTGAAGTAACAAAACCATGGCTAATTTGTGGTTACCATCCATGGCTACAAGAACCATGATTTTTGGTTTTATTCGTAAAACCATGGCAAATTTTTGTAAAGGAACATGGAAAGTCAGAGATAATATTAGATGCGTTGCTGGTGGTTAAATTATCACCGACATTAAAACACGTTATTAACGTCAACATCCAAAAAAGTTTCACAGGATTATGAATGTATGCTACCTGAAAGTGATGCACGGGCTTTTCTTTTTCTTCTCTCAGCACCGGATCGCTGATGTCTTTTCACGGCATAGTTGTCCATCAGCTGAATATAATTTGTATTCAGCCTGCAAACATAAGGTGCGAGCGTATAAATTTTTTTTTTCTAATGAGGTGCGAGCGGTCGCGGGCGCAGATGCGGGAATGGCGCGTCACGTGTGCTTAGCCTTCACCGTAAAATGCATTTTTTATAATAATATATGTTCATCTTTAGATTTTTATTTATGTATATGTTCATTTTAATTTTAATATAGAACGAAAGTTTTTTTGGAGCAACTGGTATGGTGCCCCCCCTGGGAGTTGGTGCCCTATGCAAACTGCGTACTCTGCGTATAGGGAGCGGCGGTACTGCTCATGACCTATGACTGGCTTACTTATTTGTCTTTGCACAGTTAACCAAGTTAGTAAGAAGTATTACACATCTGACCTTTAGTTATTATTGTAAATGTCTTACACTTACATCAATAATACATTGCTCTGCCATAAACGTGATGGCTATATTGCATTTTAGCTAGTTGTAGGTAGTCGTAGGTGATCAAACTAGTTCTTGAAGTTAATGCTGATGCATTCCTTGAAGGCAGGAAGTGATCAGATGTCACATTTTATCTCTAAGCCTTTTACGAGCATTTTATGGATCAGATAGCAGTTCCTAGAGTCCAGGTTCGCTCGTCATGGCTGACTGAAGCAATAGCTGTGGTGATGTGAGCGGCCTTCCCTTTCATGTTATGGGGATGAGTAGTTGAGGACTCAATGTCTTGAGCTCTTCCGCACAAGCTCTTTGTGTCCCCAGGGAGGCTTGAATTGCTCTGGCCGGCTCATGTAAAGGAGAGGAGATAGCCGGCCATCTGGAGAATACGATACGATCACCACTGGTTCCTGCCATTTAAAATGCCCCATCATCCCCCCGCTAGCACATCTCCCTTGGCCTTAACACATGTTTAGTGGCATGTTAGTCATCAGCTGTCATATATTTTATCTTATTTTCTTTTGTTCATTTATACCTGGCTATTATAAACCACACTTGAATGTGGAATGAGAGCGCATGTTCTTTGTGGGTTGTGTGTATGTCGAAGTGTATGTTCGAGTGTTGTGGTGTGCCTGTGTGTTTATAAGTGTTAGAGGAGTATCGTGTTCTCCTGCACACAACACAAGGATGTATAGACATATCGCAGCCAAACACAATGAATTATTCAACCGGGCAATACTGTGTGCTGGTTGGACGATGCAAACAGAAGCCACACAACAAATGTGAAACTTCATATTAAAAAAATCTATTTCTATGTATAATATAAGCTCATTCTTTGTTCTCATATAACATCTGGAGGAATAAGAGGAACCAGTAAATGATACAGAGGAAATAAAGCTTTTTTTAATTGTGGGCAGCACTATATTTTCAGATTAATGTCCAATATTAAAATAATGTATTATTAATACCTACAATTCCTCGGTAAAGGTAATGAGCATGTGCAATAAAATTTCCAGTGTCGTCTGATACTAAATTTAAAAATTCTAATAACGACAGTTAACTGATATAGTGCCAGTATATTTTGCAACCCTGATTGTTTTGGTATTGAATTTGAAGTAGCTTTACATTTGTGTTCATATATTGAACATTCTGAGAAGTGTGTTAAAACAGAATGAATGTCTCCTGACTTGATTTACCTATACGTCATGTGGTGGAGAGTGAGAGATTGTTATAGTTTAACTGACGGGGCTTTCCAGAACAGATGGGGCAGTAGATGAGCATTAAATGCTCTACTATGGCGGTGTTAATGCCCTCTTTATGTAATGGTGCTGAGCAGATGCCTGCACAGATCTTGATGTAAGCATGAAGTGTGTTCTCAGCAGCCAAAGCAGGGCTCTATGCTTACTTTTCTTTTTAGGAGCACTTGTGCTCCTGATTTAAAAAAAATTAGGACACAGTCAAAAAATTCAGGAGCACCTTCTGATTAATAACAAAAATTGGCCTTCTCATTAAGAGGTGATATTTGACTCCTTGAAGTGATTTACAGGGGCACTTTTTCCCCCCTTTTTTCCTTTATTAAAATGTCATCTTATGTCAAATTCAAAAATGTTATTTATAGGCTTTTTCATAATTTCTATTTACAATGAGAACAAGTAGAATAAGAATAAGTTACCCATCAAATGAAATCAGAATTAACAAAATTCATTTGCACTACAGAGGTGGGACAGAAGAACACAAAAGTGGCATGTAGGGATATTTAAAGACGTTTAATGAGGCTCAGAGGTGGCATGAGTGCAATTAAATTAGTAAATTCATGTTTAGATTAATGTTTTAAATATAAAATTTTGAATATAGAAATATTAAATGATTTAAATAACTGAAATGATACTTTAAAAATGAAAAACTGCCAGTAGGTGTTGGCAAGTCACTGTCTTTGTCACCGAATCATTCATTAAATTGATTCGTTCGAAAGGCTGATTCATTCAAGAACGAAGCAAGTGACTGCTTCACTTTTAGACACGCACTCGCGAACTTCCCTAAGCACTTCCCGTCGTGGGAATCCCCGCTGCCATTTTGAAGTGCGTTGTGGACGAGGGAAGTTTATATGGACAAAACCTCGACCCCTCGATTTTGACAGAGGGAGCGAGTCTGCTTCATATGCACACTTCAGGCCGCTCTATAGACCACAATGCAACACGACTATAACACAATCGCAGATCACGTTTAATTTATCCCCACCCCAAGCAACTCTATAATATATAAATGTTTTTTTTTTACATTTATAACAGCCCAAGCATACCTATATACATATAGAATGTTGCACCAAACTAATTTGTAAGGGGAAAAATGTAAACAATAAACCAACTCCATAGCGGATTCTAAGTGATCAAGGGCTTAGGACGTTCCAATTCAGCCCATTCTAAGAGTTCTGCCAGTACTCATGCAACGTAATCAATGACGTACATCCGAGTAAACGAGACGGAGGGAAGTTAGCGAGTGAAGGGCATAAAAAAATGGACTGGAACGCAGCCTTTATGAATGGGTAATTGAATCACTGACTCACTAGATTCGTTTAAAAACTCACATTCATTCATAAACGAAACAGCGCTGTGTTTGCTTGGAGATACGCATAATGCGACCCTGCAAAGGTCAAGAGCTTACGGTGACATGAGTGGATGCTTGGCTAATACATTTACCCAAGAGTTTTTCCTGGAGAATCCAAGTGTGTTGTAAGTATACATAGTTTTTTTTTTTTTTTTTATGTAATCCTAAATATGGTTTTTGCATTGGTTACTTGGTAATTAGTCAGTCTTTTCCTCCTTGTGACAAAAGCAACACCATGTGGGTTTTAAAACAATAAACTATAGTTGTAGGGCAACACAAAACAACAGTTAAGGCTGTCAGAGGAAAGCTGGCCAAACAGTTTCCTTTACTTCCCCTTAACATGCTCAGGAGGAAATGTCTGATAATAGTTCCTGTTAGATATTATTTATTTAAGCTTAATGCTTTCAAGGTTAGATAAATGTGATGCTTAATGATATTGGCATGATATTTGAATGCTCATACAGTGAGAACAGTAACATTCAGAAGACACTAGCACAACAAGATAATATGAATGCATACTTTGTAAAAAAGAATAAAAATGCCCTTTGAAATTTGCAGTAGAAAAAAATATACTATATAAATAGATTCATAAAAAAAAGGGAGGGATCTATGGGGATGCTGGCTGCTAAATCTAAAAATAGTTAGAATAAAATCAATATATTAATATAAATTTAGCTGGTATTGGCTGTTAACTGATAGTGTGCACTCTTATACTTATGTATGCACCTAAATCAAACAGTAACTCTTAAAACAAAAAGGGTTTTTGCAGCATTTTGCAACATTAAATTATTAAAACGCCTGATGATGAATTTTGTACCCTTTTGCATTATTTAGAGTTTAATTCATAGTATATGTATGATTGTAATAGTTCTGTAAGTAGGTAATCTATCTAAGCAACGAAATCAGACTATCATAGGCTACTAAAGCTAATAGGTGGATTTTTTTTTTCTTTGTGTCCTTGGAAGCAAATTTCAGGGCGTATTTTCCCTCCTTTAAATCATATTCAAATGAGACCCTTAATTGAATATAAACAGTGTTTGATGTTTTCTGTAAATGTGGATACTGTGGATTACTGAATGCTGTTTCTGCCAGAGCTTCAGCCATAATGACTTTATTTAATTTTGAGGCTTGAAAAGGAGGAACTAGCTCTCTGTTCATTACAGTGCCTTGAGGACTGATTCAGCCTGACTGATTCTGGAGTCCTGTCTCATGCAGGCCTTTCTCACTCAGTCACTCACTCACCCACACACTCTCTCTCTCTCTCTCTATCTCTCTCTCTCTCTCTCAATTAGTCTGCAGAGGAGTCAAAGTGAATGGGATGAGCCAAAGTGCTTCACAAATGGATTTAAACTGCATCTCACATGTGTTATGTTTTGAATTCAAAAGACGTCATTCTCAAACAGCTGAGCTGACTTTGGCTTTTTCAATGAAGAAAAACCCATCTGGGTCATCTATTCCAGGTGTGGCATCTGTTTCATGTGAGGAATGATTTGAAGTTGATCGTGTGAAGATCCTGTCCTTAATTCCATGTACACTTTCACAGGGCCGACTGCCTCAGCTGTCCCATACAGGCTTTTCCTGGAAGTGAGACTTGAAGATTTCTTCCATTAGTATTCTTGGAAGCATTTTTTTTTTTTAATTCTTAGAGATGCTTTTGGGAGTCTTGTTTCGCCACGTGTCACAGACCCACATGTCCTCATGGAATTCATCTATGTGTTCTTACAGCTGATATTGCTGCTGTGTTGGCCAGCGACCACCTCTCTGCATTAAGCCAAAGTTGAGTATGATGTTTGTGCTTTTAAACGGAACAAAAGTCCATGGAGACTCTCCTCTTCCAAGTAGGGCTCTTGAAAGCAGATATTTAGACAACAAATTATGAAATCGGGCCTTTTTTCCTGATCTTCCAAGTTATTAATCCCTCAAAGTTATTCCAGCTCTACTGTAAGCCTTCTTAGAAGCCATTGAGAACAGGTAGTGAAAGTTTGTGTGGGTTTACTGATTAGCAGATAAAATGGAAAAAAAGATTTAACAATATGCTTATCGTTTTATTCCGTGTAACTAGGGTTGGGTACCGAAACCCGGTACCAGTATGGCACCGGTACCTATGTAACCGGTATGTACTAGAACCGAATCAGAACGCAGATTTCGGTGCCATGCCTGAGCGATCTATTGAAATATTTGTCCTCTGGTTCTCCGAAACGGACGTAAGAAGCATCATCACCAGCACCGCACGTGAAAAATAATTTCCCGACTGAGAAAATGCACGTGAACTCTAGTGGGAAAGCTCTAATAATACAAATCCAACACATCTTTGTAGTAACGAGAGTGTCCATGTTGTTTTCACATTCCGACTCAAAAGCACAACTCGGAGACCTGTCCTCCACCTTTTCTCTGATTTTGTGAAATGTCATCAAAGTCACTGGCTGAACGCTTCAGAATATAGTTGCAAGGTTGGGATTTCCTTTCATTTGTGTGCGCTCCATTGTGTGTTTTGGTTGGCTCTTGAGAATTTTCCTTCTGTGATCCAAATTGGTGAAATTTTAACAGTACCATAACCAAGGTAATCCAACGTTAAAGATGCTGACAGCAAGTAATACCATTTGTTCACTTTCTGCCATTACAAATAAATCTAGTAAAACAGTCTTCAGGACGAACTTGTTTACAGAAGAGCACAAGTTCATGCATGCTTTTTTTCCCAGTTAACTCTTAAAAGAATCTTTTTCCAGTGATGGCCATTCAGAATAAGCCATTAATTGTTAATAATAAAAATATTAAATTAAATTAAATTAACAAAAATAAATTATAACCCGAAACCCGGTACCAATATGGCACCGTTACCTATGTAACCGGTATGTACTAGAACCGAATCAGAACGCAGATTTCGGTGCCATGCCTGAGCGATCTATTGAAATATTTGTCCTCTGGTTCTCCGAAACGGACGTAAGAAGCATCATCACCAGCACCGCACGTGAAAAATAATTTCCCGACTGAGAAAATGTCGGAAATCTCTAATAATACAAATCCAACAAATCTTTGTAGTAACGAGATTGTCCATGTTGTTTTAAAATTCTGACTTAAGCACAACAATTACACTTGCTCTGATGGCAGCAGGTAACCTTCCGTTAACTAAGCTAAACATGCTTAAATTAAAATGCCTAAAGCTAAACTTCCCTTGTATTCACATTTCTAAACCTGTTGTCCAACAAAAGAGAACATTATAACCTTTTTACTCCACAACACCAGTCAAATGCTTCCTTTTGTGACCTGATGAGGCTTCTTGTCACAGAATGAGGCAGAAAATATGTTCCACTACATTGAAAAGAATACATCGATTAGCAATAGATTATAAATTAGGGTGACCATACGTCCTCTTTCCCCGGACATGTCCTCTTTTTGGACCTACAAAAATGCATCCGGCCGGGATTTCTTAATTGCCCAAAATGTCCAGGATTCGGCCGTTTTCTTAATCTCGCTCCCGCTGAATCTCTGACCATTGCCGCCTGCTCCCGCAACATGTGTTTCGCTCC